TCCTAAGACTGCAGAGAAAGAAAAGACGAAATTTTTGGAGGAGGAGAATGTGAAAGCCTTTGCAAAGGCTTTTGTTAGAAATATGTTGGATTTCAAAAGACAATGGTTACAATAAAAAAGGACAATATTGGCAATAGTGGGAGACTTGACTCTTTGTGAAATATTAAATAGTATTTAATTCTTGAGGATGATTCACTTATTCAGTGTGAGGATATGTTGGCACATTACCATTAAATAAGATCCACATTAAATTTAGATTTTCTACATATTTTCTTAATGTACTTTTTCAGCCATAATTGATCCAGGACACCACATTGAACATAAGTATCACGTCTCCCTAGGCTTCTTTTGGTTGTGACAATTTCTCAGCATTTCTTTGACTTTGATAACCTTGATACTTTTAGAAGAATACTTTGCAGTTATTTTGCAAAATGTTTCTCAGTTAACATTTATCTGAAGTTTCTGTCATGACTAGACTAGGAGTATATATTGCTGGGAGTAAGATCACAGAAATAAAATGCCATTTGAGTCACATCATATGAAGAATACATGTTATCAACATGACTTATCCCTGTCAATGTTAACGTTGATCACCTGGGTGACAATTTGTCAGATTTCTCCACTATAAAGTCACTCTTTTCCTCATACTGTACTCTTTGTAAGGAAGTCACTATCTGTTACCCACACTGAAGTTGGATAATTATGTTCCAGTTTCTCACTGGTGGAGTATCTACATAAACTTGAAATTCATTTTTTATGGGATACTTGTCTATTCTCCCTTGTATACTTATATGTTAAATATTTATTTATGTCAATGTTAATGATAGGATGCTTATTTTATATTTTGTGTTATAATCCAATACAACTGTATTGTTCACATTTTCTCAGATTTAGTTATTAGGAGCTCTTTTAGTTGACTTTTGTGCTAGCTACTTTGACGTCTTCCCATACTTAAAGGGTTTTTTGATTGGTGGTGGTGGTGTTTGTCTGTTTTTAGGACATTCTTGCTTTTTGGCAGTACAAGATTTTCCAGGTTGATCTTGTCTATTTCCTGCCCCAGTCATTGAATAGGCCATTTATCCAATGAGCTCTGGTTTATTTTTTATGGAATAGATTTAGAAACCTAAATCTGAGTCCTAGTGTTCTCATTCCTACCAGGGTGTCATGATTTCTGTGTCCTCTCAGCTGATGCAGCAAGGAAATATATGTGTGTCTACTAACCAGTGTACAGAAAGATATCTATACATATTTCCATGTGTAACCATCTGTACCTATACGAAGCAGATATAAGTTTAAGTTAAAGTCTCCAATTCTAATATACTATTATATGGATCAATTTAGCTTCCTCTCCTTGCTCATTTGTAACATCCTACTCCAACAGTAAGAAGCCTGGCTCTCACAATTAGTAATCCACTTACAGAATTGTTTAACTCCATTATACATGTATAGTGGTCAGAACTGTTAACCCGTAATCCATGTGAAACAACTTTATCAACTAAAGTACAGCGCTTATGTAAAGCTTCATGTCTCTTTAGTTTTGCAGACTTTCTCCATTTCAAAAGTTCCTTAGGTCAGAATTAGTTTTTCTCACTTCTTTCAGTGAGGTTATTCACTGATTTTGTATGCAATTTAATTGATTTGTCACATTCTTCACTCCATCTTAGGTTTCTCCATCCTCCAACATAGTTTTTAAAATGTTTGCGTATTAAAGTTCAATATCTGTGCCATAAAGTTTTATAAATTTTTGATATATACATAGTGTTTTATGTACACCATTTCAGTATTACAGTTTTACAACCCTAAAGAAAAATCACTGGTCCTTTAGCATTCCAACCTTTCCTTTCTCCCTGAACTGCTGACAATCACTATTTATTATTTGTGGTGGCTCAATCACGGTCCCTAAAATTTATGTCTTTGTGCTAACCCTGGAACCTGTGAATACTATCATATTTGTAAAATGGATCTTGCAGATATAATTAATTAAACAGTCTCAAGATTAGGAGACTACCCTGAATGACACAGGTGAGCACTAAATCCAATGACAAATGTTCTTATGAGAAACAAACAGATAGAAGACACTCAGAGAACAAAAGGAAGCAATATGATTATTGAGGCAGACATGGGAGTGATGTGGTCACCAGCCAAAGAATGTTTGGATCTACCAGATGTTGGAAGATGTAAATAATGGATTGACTTCCAGTGCCTCTGGAGGGAGTGTAGCCCTCCTGACACCTTGATTTCAGACTTGTAATGATGAAAGAATTTATTTCTGTTGTTTTAAGCTGCCAAATTTGTGGTAATTTGTTAGTGCAGCCACAGAAAACTAATATACTGTCACTATTGTTTTCCTTTTTCAGAATGACATGTAGTTGGACTCATACAGTATATAGCATTCACAGACTGGCTTATTTCACTTAGCAATATGCATTTAAAATTCTTCCACATATTTTCATGGCTTAATTTTTTGCATTTCTTATTGATAATAACTATTGTATGGGTGCTCCCCAGTTTGTTTATCTATTCACCTATTGAAGAGTGTCTCATCTTGGTTACTTCCTGTTTCTATCAATTATGAATAAATACCATTCATATGCATTTTTTTGTCTGGACATGCATATTTTAATAAGCTGGATGAAAATATAGTAGGGTGATTGTGGGATCACATGGCAAGACTGCATTTAATTTTATTAGAAACTGATGGTCTCTCTTCCAAAGTGGGAGTAGCATTTTGCATTTCCTCCAGGAATGCATGAAAATCCTTGTTCTGCATCATCATCAGCAACAAGAATTATAATTTTTTAAGTTAGCATTTCTTAATAAGTGTGTAGTGTTATCTTATTGTTGTTTTAATTTGAGATTCCCTAGTGACAGATAATTTTGACCCTCTTTTCATATGATTATTGTCATTGGCATATATTTATTGCTAAAATGTCTGTTCATATTATTTTGCCTATTATTTTTCTTCTTGTTCAATTTAATTGTTCTTTGCATATTTTGGACTGATACATTTATTAAATATTTGCCTTTAAAATATATTCCTCCATTATGTTTCTTGACTATTCATTTTATAATAGTATATTTTACAGATGAGAAGTTTTAATTTAAAAAATTGCAAATTATCTTTTATTTTTTATTTTTTAGTTAATGGTTTTAGTTTTACACATTAAGACTCATCATCAGTTCCAAAGTCACATCATTTCTTCCATGTTTTCTTCTAGAAGTTTTATAGTTGCGTGTTCTACCTTAGGTTTATGCTCCTTTTGAGTTAATTTAGGTAAAAGTGTAAGGTCTGTGTAGGGGTGTGTGTGTGTGTGTGTGTGCATGCATATCTTTCTATTCTACTTTGCATATGAAAGTTCAGTCATTTCAGAACCATTTGTTAAAATGACTATACATTCTCTATTGACTTGCCTTTGTTCCTTTGTAACTTGACAAATTTGTGTGTCTATTTCTGGGTTCTCTATTTTGCTCCATTAATCTATGTATCTATTCTTTACCAGTACCACACTGAATCTCTATAGATTTTACTACAGAGTTATAGAAATTAGGTAGTATAAACATTCTAACTTTGTTCTTCTTCGTCAGCATTGTATTCTCTGTTCAAAGTCTTCTTTTCTATATATACCTTAGAATCAGTTTGCTAATATCTATGAAATAGATTGTTGTGATTTTAATTGGGATTATGTTATCTGTATGCTGAGTTGAAAAGAGGTGAAATCTTAAGACATACTTAATCTTGTATGTTTTTATACATAAAAGACAATCTCAAATAAACAAAACATATTTCATGTGAGATGTCATGTCTAATAAATTACAGAACTTGTATTTGAACTCTTATCAATCTAGCTTCCAAACAAGAGGTTTTAAGAAAATGTCATTATCTTTTTTTAATTAGAGCAGTCATCACATTATTTATTTTTCTTTTTAGATGGCCTACATACATTTCAAGTATATGGCTACCCATCTCATTTTTGTTTCTCCAACACTTAGTCAAATATTTAACATATATTAGAAATACAACTGTCCACTACAGTTTCTACTGTTATCATCCCCACCCTGGAAAACACATCTCCTGAAAAACGGGTTTCAGAGAGGTGCTCATCTTCCTCTATTGTCCATTCTCAGTATAGCTGCAGGCAGTTTTATTATGAAAAAATAATTTATGAAAACAAAAATCATTCAAACATTTCCTTCTGTGCTTAAACTCTTCCCAGAAGTGTTCGACTTAAATTAAAATAAAATTCAAGTATGTTCCATGGTTCATAATGTCCTGTACAATTTGACTTTTTGCTACCTCTCTGACCTCAGATTAAATTATTACTCTTCTCCTTTGTTAGGCTTCAGCCATATCATCTCTCTTTCTAGTCTTGAAATTGTAAAGTTCATCCTTCGACAGACTTTTACACTAATTATTCCTTTTGCTTGGAATGTTTACTCTAAATATGCACAAACTTGATTCGGTGTCACACAGATCTTAGTCATAACATCAGTTTCCCAGAGAGGATGCTCTGACCGCCTTACCTAAAGCAAGGAATCAAACTCTTGCTACTCCGTCTCCCCTAACCACTAGCATTCTACTCTCTATTTAGTTTTAAAGTTATTTTGACCTCATAGCATCTGTAATTATATAAAATTTACTCATGTCCTTTTTTCCATGTGTAATATCCATAATCCACTTTAAGTTTCACAAGGCAAAGATATTTTCTGACTTGTTTACCACTCAATAAATATTTGTTTGAGTGAACAAATAGGAAAATGAAGAAGAAACAAAAATCCATTGCTGAATGAAGGTATTCTTTGATATTCATTCTTATTCAAAGTTTTGATATTCAAATATTTAATATTCAATGTTATTTTGAGTAACACTAAGTTGTACACATTATATATTTAGTGCACATTATGGTGATGTATTAAGGATATTGTTCGTCAGGCTCTGTGCAGTGACCCTTAGTAGAAGCAATATGAGCCTTTATTTTCTACCTTTGTTTTTTCTTTTACAGGCTTTATCTGGCTATGTCTGACCTCAAATGTTGGTGCTGCAGAAGCTGGCCCATGACTCTTCTCCTCTATACACTACCTTTAGGTGACTACATCCGAAGTTTCAACTATCCCCCTATAACTGAGCAATCCCTCTATGTTTTTATTTAAAACATTTTTCTCAAGTTTCAAACTGAAGTTTTCCTCTGCCTTCCAAACAGATTGTCCTGGATATTTTACAGGTATTTATAATTCAGCATGTCAGCCATATATCTGGCCCAACTTATTTTCTATGTTATTTTGTTTGAGTGAACAGTCAATATGTGTTTTGAAATGCAAACATATGTACATAGTTTTTTTATTATTTGCACATTTCACCTTTTTATTAATAGATCAAAACCTTCTCAAAATTTGAAGAGATGACTCATCAATCTCTCTCAAGGCTCAACAATCTGTTTGCAAATTTTAATGACACTTGTGTTCAAAGAGTTTTGGAGTATTTTGTCATAACATGCTAACCACTTTTAAATACATTGTAATGAAGTACAAGGCATTTCCTCTGAAAATTGTTTTGAAATATGTATAAAAGTTTTAGAAACTTCCCAAAAGATTACAGTCAAGTCAGTTGTAGAAAAAAATTCCTTATATTCTTTTGGGAAGTTATGTGTTAAAATGTATAAAATGTGATTCACCTTCTCTGACTCTTTTTATTATATTTAAAGATAACCTATCAGGATTTAGAAAATGTGGTTATGATAAAATTGTGTAGCAACTTAGATTATATGGATTTTTGATTTCCCTTTAATTTTTGTATGCTTAAAAAGGAACAATTTCTAGTATCATTCACCACATAAGAAAGAAACCTAAACTTGTTTGGAATGAATCAAAAGAAAGAGCAGGTGGGACTATTCATCAGGTTTTTGAGCATTCTTTTATGCCTGAATTATTTCCACTGTTATCTGTAAAGCGCTTCTCAAGTGGCACACCCTGGGAATACACAAATATGTTCTAAAGGGAGCTTTCTCTTTAATTATTTGAAATCTAGGGAAGGTGCAAGTATTTAATCCACCTCTCCAAAAATGTACATCATTTGTTACTGTGAAGATCTTTAAACTCTACGTAGGGTCTAAATTTCCTTGGGGGAAAATAAGCAAGTTTATCACAGGTAATAACAATTGAACTGAGAGTGAAAGAATGGATTAGCGTAGTTAGTGTGAAATCAAGATAAATCATTTAAAGCAAATGGTGGTTGAGCAACTGAAAAGGAAATGGAGGCCCTGGCTTGTCTTGGTATAAACATGGAATTATGAGTATTTCAGTGCTGTTGAATTTCAAGGAATAAAAAGAAATGGAAAAAAAAAAAAGAGGCGAAAACACCAAATCATAGATCCCTAGGGCCACATGAAACATTTTGGATGTTCCTTTCAGGAAATAAGAAGTATTTGAAAACATTTGAGTAAAAACTGACATAATTGGATTAAATACTAGAAATACCAAGTTGATAACAATGTGGAAGTTTGCTTCAAGTGAAGAATGTTATAAGAGTAAAAAAGGAGAGATGAAAATATTAAGATGATTACCAAAATATTCAAAGTTAACATCTGAAAAGTTTAACTGAAGAGGGTATGAAAATACATGAAGATCATCAAAATGAAAATAAATGGATTATTTATGCACAGCTTGCTATGATAAAGAAGTTGACTATCAGCGCTTGTGTTAGGCAGATACTCAAAGACAGCCAAGTGCGAAAGCTTTATAGTGGAAAAGAAAAAGAAGGCTTCAGGTATGCTCCGATTAGAAGTTATCAGCATGGGGAAGCTGAAGTCAGGCTAACGAAAAGTGGGACATTCTGTGTGATTGGTTTGAAGAGTGTATTTGGCTGTCTCTGGTTAGTCTTAATTGCAGACAGGGAAGCTGACAAGTCCTTACTGTCCTTGACTGCTGCAGATGTACTTTGGCTTTCTGGATTGGGCAGTGCAGAGATTGTAGGTCGGGTTTTATTGTCACATGTGTTTCATCTATTCCCTTTACTGTATTCAGTCCTTCAAGTAGGTATATATAAATTTAGAATATACAATCATATGAGCACTGATTGTATATGAATTTGTGGAAGGACATCCAGGAGAACAGAGCAGGGGAGCAGATTTAAGGAGTAAGGACAGATATTTACTGAATAATGCTCTTTTCAAGCCCTTGACTAAGTTGCATTATCTGCCCATCTCTTTTAATCCTTAACTAAAGTCTGCAAGCACTATATATATGTGCAAAACAGACTATTCACAGCACAAGGAAACTTATTAAAGTGATGTAGAGAAAACAAATTTATGATCAGAAATGTGCAGCTAAAATTTTAAATATATACATATATATATATAATTTGGAAAATAAAGTTTAATTATAGTGTTCAGGCACTGCCTTCTAAATTTTTATACCTTATAATTAGTGATGGGATAACTTCCTTTTTTATTTTGGAGGTAGATTTGAGAAGATGAAAGAAAGATAATAAAAATAAATTACTTTATTTCTATGTATTTAATTCTAATGTTTATTTTTTTCTTTTATCTTGGTTTGGATGTTCAATATAGAGCTCAGCGGAATTTAGAGAATGTCCCATTCTTTGTAAAGTAATTCTTCATTTCCTAAGTACAAAATAGAACTAGACTAGACAAGAAAGAAAAATGAGCTGGCTGCCCTTTCCAAAACAGGTCGACCTGTCTTCATTGCATGAATAATTGTTTATAATGTCAAGGGGACTTACACCTTATGATGATTAAAGGAAAAATTTCTTGAATATCCTTACTCAATGGTCTTAAATATAAATTAATACTGCCAAAATTTGAAGCAAGTTTCTTTTAAAATACTTTCTCTCCTTTGATAATCAATTTATGAGTGTATAACCGAATGCTTTCCAACAGTTTAGTCAACAATTCAACATGTTTGTGGAAAATCTAAAACATATACAGCATCAAGGTTGAGATCCAAATCCCCATAAGACGGGGTTTTTGTCCTTGAGGAGTTTAGAGCATGAATGGTGGGTGGGGTCTTGAGGTAGAATATATGTACAGAAAACATTAATAAGAATGAAAGATTTTAAAAATACCAATTAATCATTGAAGAAAATTATTCCTGGATTTCACTGGCCATAGAGATAACATTGATCTTTGTGTTCAGCAAAGTCATCAGAAAGAAAATAAAAATCTTCTTTTCTAATTTTAAAGAAATTGAGACAGAAAGGACTAAATTTTCTTTTCTAATATTTAAGGGTATTATTTTTTTATGTCCATAAAAAGAGTTTGGGAGAAGAGGATATATGTTCAATATTTATTGAAGTAATACACTTACTGAATAATACTTCCTGCTAATCATTGGACCTGATACATTATATATCCTTCTCATTTAACTTCACCGCAAGTCTGAAGAGTAGATAATATTAACCATATTGTTCAATGGATAGAAATGATTCTTGAGGATACAAGTCTCTAAAAGACTGCAGATTTCTTTAAAAGAGAGAGTTCACATGAGGGCCCTGAAGTCATCTTTTATTGCAACAATATATATTTAGAATATGTTTGGTCGTAGAAGGAGAAAGGTAAGTTCTATTAGAGGCCCAGTTTTACAACACAGTATGACAGAAGAGAGGAAGCTGAAAGAGGCACCACCTGGAAAACTAATTAGTTTCATTTATTATCTTTTCATTTATTATTTTTCTTTTAATCCTGAAGTGAAAGTAAAATTGAAAGCAAAACAAGCTACCATTTTTGTAGTTGTTGATAATAATCAATTAAATATAGAAAATTTAACCCTAAACTATTCTTCAGACAAAAAATAGACACAAGAGTACTTTCTAAGTGTCAACCATTAATCTACACACCAGAAATATCATAATGGACAAGGAATGTCTCTGAGGAACTTGTTGGAAGATTGATCAATAAAGAGGTTAACAAAAAATATAATTTGAACATATAAAGTAAGATACATCAATAAGTGAGGAGGGAAATGTCCCTACAATGTTATCCCAACATAATTTTTATTAATTCAGGTTTATTGAGGTGTAAGTTACATCAGTAAAACTCATTTTCTTTTTAAATTGGGAAATACCAATTGAATACATTTATGAGCTGTGAGGTGATTTTTGATATATGTATATGTTGCAGAATGATGAAGTCAAGCTAATTAACATACTCATCACATCACGTCATATTTTTTGGTTAGAATATTACCTCTTTTCAATGGGAACATTTGAAATTTACATTGTAAGAAATTACAAAATATACAATATAAAATTATTAACTATACTCATCATGCTGTGCAATAGATCTCAAAAACGTATTTATCCTTATCTAACTGAAACTTTGCACCCTTTGACCAACATCTCCCCATTCCTCTCCACCATGACCCTTCCTCTTACCAGCCTTTAATAACCATCATGCTACTCTCTCCCTCTATGTTTTTGTGTGTTTTGGGGTTTTTTTTGAGGCGGAGTCTCACTCTGTTGCCAGGCTGGAGGCTGGAGTGCAGTGGTAGGATCTCAGCTCACTGCAATCTCCACCTACTGGGTTCAAGCGATTCTCATGCCTCACCCTCCCAAGTAGCTGGGACTATAGGCACCCACTACCACGCCTAGCTAATTTTTGTATTTTTTGTAGAGACTGGGTTTCACCATGTTGGCCAGGATGATCTCGATCTCCGGACCTCGTGATCTGCCTGCCTCGGCCTCCCAAAGTGCTGGGATTACAGACGTGAGCCATCGCTTGCAGCCTGGATCATATGTTAATTCTATTTTCAGCTTTTTGAGGAATCGTTGTAGGGTTTTGTCTACAGGCCTCATTAATTTACGCTCATCAACAGTGTACAAGGATTCTCTTTTCTCCACAACCTATCCAACTATTTATCATTAAAATTTTTTGACAATAGTCATTCTAAGAGGTATTAATTTACTCTTATCAACAGTGTACAAGGATTCTCTTTCTCCACATCCTATCCAACTATTTGTCATTAAAAGATTTTTATAATAGTCATTCTAAGAGGTATGAGGTGATATTTCATTGTAGTTTAGTTTGTATATCCCTGATGATAAGTGACGCTGAACATTTTTTCAGATACTTGGCCATTTGTTTTCTTCTAAGAAATATCTATTTAGAAAGTCTTAACCAGAGCAGTCAGGCAAGAGAAAGAAACAAACGACATTCGAATAGGAAAAGAAAAAGTCAAACTATGTCTTTTCATTGATGGTATAATTCCATACTTATAAAACCCTAAAGACTGCCAAAAGACTACTAGAAATGGCAGATAATCTTAGTAAGGTTTCAGGATACAAAATTGATGGACAAAAATCAGTGGCAATTCTATATATCAATAAATTTCCAGGCTGAGAGTCAGATCAAGAACACAATCCTATTTATAATTGCCACAGAAAAATGAAATACCTAGGGATACAGCTAACCAAGGAGGTGAAGGAGCTCTACAAGGAGAACTACAAAACACTGCTGAAATAAATCAGAGAAGACAAAAATAAATGGCAAAACAGTCCGGGCTCATGGATTAAAAGAATCAATACCTTAAATTGTATTTCCCATTATCCCCATGTGTCATGGGAGG